TCTTTCCCTGCCCACAGCCCACTCTGCGACCGTGACCTCCTGGGCTGTCCAGTCACTCGGCTCTGCGGCCTGCAGGGTCCCCTCCCTGGGCTCCTGTCAGGAGCCCGACGTGGTGGTCAGCGGGCAGAACCGGGGCCCGTTTTCAACACCTTCCATGTACTCCTCCCGGCAAACCCTGAGGCATAAACAACCTCACTCTATAGGAGGAAGCAAACCCGGGGAGGTTACGGAGACGCCTGGGGCCTCATAATAGCTAACTGTGGCCCAGCGGGGCCTGAACCCTGGGCTGTGTCCTTCTGCTGAATTTGTGGGGAAGCAAAGGCACCTGCGCCCCAGGCAGATGGGAGGACATGGCACCTAGAATCATATTTATTTACTGTAAACCTGCCCGAGAGTAAATGCAAGAGCACGCGAGAGGAAGTTGCTTCGGGGCTGGGGCAGACAGGTGTGTGCGTGCGCGTGCATGTGTGCGTGTGGGTGTTGTGTATGTGCGTGCGTGTGTGCGCGTGCGTGCGCATGCGCATGCACGTGTGGGTGTTGTGTATGTGCGCGCGTGTGCATGTGTGTGCGTGTGCGCGCGCGCGTGCGCGTGTGGGTGTTGTGTGTGTGTGCGTGTGTGCGCGCGCGCGTGTGTTGTGTGTGCGTGTGTGTGGTGTGTGTGTGTGGGGGGGGTGGGATCTGCAAGGCTGGGGAGATACCGAGGCAGACGGAGAGAGACAGACAGAGAGAGGATCAAAGAGAAGGAGGCAGAGAGAGAGAGGGAGGGAGGGAGGGACATTGACTGATTGATGACTGATTTGACATCTTATCACTGAGGGCACTCTCTGTCCGCAGATGCCACGGTTGCATTTTGCTTGGAGTCTGTTTTATGGTTAGTTTGCTTGGGTAGTTGGCACGATTAGTTTGCTTCGTTAGTCTGCTGGTTGGACAGAGAGGCCCGGCATCTTCTGGGCGGGGACGCATTCCTGTCTGGTTGTGCTTTGGAACCTGAATCATCAGGAAATGGAGCCTGGCTTCTGAGAAAGATAAACACTGTCAGAAATCCCCAGGGGCCCGAACCCACTGCATCCCCTTCAGCACTGATCTCACATGATCCTGGCCAGAGACACAGCCTGAGGGTCCTCTCCTGTGACACAAGGACGGGGGCCCTGCTGAGGACGAAGGAAGTCTGCAGTTTCCAAATACGGCATTCAAAGCCCCCGAATTGAGAAAAACTCCAACAGACGCAAGAGATGATGTCAAACAGAGCAGGACACACCCTGTAAAGGGAGCTTCACGGCCATTTCTCCGGGGTGGCCGGCAAGGGGCACAGACTGTGGACACTGCTGGGACCGAGGCGGGGCCGGAACCCTGGCTCTGGATCCTCTCCCAGGACCCTCACCTGCTCAGCAGCCCTGGCAAATACTGGGTTCCCATCGCCTCTTGTGCCACACGGTTGAGATTTAGACCATTAAAGAAAATACCCTGTGTACTATCTTTTATCAAAAGCCTCCACCATGGGTGGGTTTGACGTTTTCCTCCAAATATCAGTACAGTTTTATAGAAAGCTCAGGAAGACCCTTTCACCTGTTAGTAAGCGGATTCTGTGAAGCCCACGTGGGAATTCTATCCAGATAGACTCAAAGTCTGCTCTGGGCCCTTTGAAATGGTTGCATTTTTGAGACAGAAAGAAAGAGCGACAGAAAGCAGCCACTCTTCTTCACTTTGGGAAGCCTCGGCCCAGGTCAAACAGGTGGACTTCTTTGTTCTAAAATGTTAATCTTTAAAAAATGTCAATCTCTGAAGTGCGTCCTGAAACTAGCTGTTCCTTACATGAATATCTAACGTCTAGTACAAGATCTACTACCATTTTAGCTTGTTTTCTTATCATTTTCCTTCAAAAGTTCCTACCAGCTGTGCAGTTAGTCCCAGGGCAGGGCTGCGGCGGTCCGGAGCCCCACGTGGGCTACTGCGGAAGGCGTTCCCCGCGCCCCCCCCCCC